TAAACCATATATTAAGGAAGCGACACCAATATTAAGAATCCAAAACAAATGTCAATTTTTTCATTTCCTTGGAAGAATGAATAGCCACAAATATCCAATACAGAAGTTGAAATAAATTTCTCTTCACAGAAGGTACATAAATAACATTGTTCAAATGTAAAATATGACCAGAATTTAAATACAACGAAATAGTTCAATGCATTCAACTGATGCCTTGCTCCCTACTATGCCAAAGAATACTTCTGTGCCTCACTTGGAACCTTCTAGTTTCTTAGCCCTTATAGGAAATTCACAACATATACAGTGACACATAGATCCAGCCACCATGAGTCAAAGAAAGTTTTCAATGGTGTTAGATTCAAAATAGACTAGAGCTAGAGGGGCAATTTGAAGAATTGTCCCTTCATTTTCTTGTTTATTCTTCAATTTGAAGCAATTAGCTTTAATGTGACCGGTTTCTTGCAATAATTGCATAACCCCTTAAAGGGTTTCTTCCTCCTTCTCGCTCTTATCACCATCCTTCTTAAAGGTTGGATTATTAGGCTTTAGGGCATCATGCTTCTTCTCCCTTTTCTTATATGACTCTCCAGATTTACTGTTAGAGCCATGAGAAACATAGTTTATTGAGTGAGAGGAATTCTTCTTTATAGCTTCCTCTTCTTGAGTGACTATCAATATCATCTGGTCAACAAACCATTCAGCTTCTTGTGAGTTGTATGAAGTCCTCAAGAATGCATACTTTGATGGCAGTGATTGAAGAACATGGTAAATTAAGGTACTTTCACCCAAATCAATCCCATATGACCTAAGCTTGTTATAGTAATGAACAAGCTTCAGAATGTGCTCCTGACACTAGAAACTCCATCATATCGAGTATTGTTAAGAAGTGATAGATAATAGTTCGAGTCTTATCAAGCTTCTTGTATTTGTTACCAATAGCTTTCAAGTACTCTACTATAGTATCCTTCTCAGGAATGTTGTCCCTAATTTTCTTTTCAATTGTATACTTGATGATTGCTAGACAAATCTGGTTGGCCTCACTCTATTGTTTATGGAAGGTCATTTCAGAAGCATTAGACTCAGAAGAGAGATCCGCAAGCTTGGGTTTTTTCAGAGCTAAATCTTTCTCAAAAATGGTCAATACATAGTCAGGGACTCTTTTCAGTCATCATAATTAGTCCCATTGAGAGCCTTCACAGAGGATAGTTGTGTAAAAGCAGAAACTAAAATCGCAAAATAGAAATGGAAAATATTAATTATGCGTGCACAACATAATTATAAAAGAATTTCC